TTTACAAATTTATTGCACTGTATTTATTAAAAATTGCTTACAGGGAAATGTTATTTTTATTGTTATTTGAGATATAATAAAACAATTGTATTCATTTACTAACATTCGCATCAATAACTAACTCCTAATTAAAGTTTATATAATTTTATTAGATTAACGAAATACATGAGATGAATAATGGCATTCAGACCTTCTGAATTGTTGACAAAAACTATCTTAGCAATGGTTAAAAAAAATAAAAAATAAAAACATTCATTCGCTGAAAGAATTCCATTAAGTAATAATTCAATTTGTTCATTCAACGGGCTTCAAGGAATAAAGAAATTTCATAGAAATGTTACGGGAAGCCATCAAATCTAAACGTTCTATCAATTTATCAAGAAAAAGGGGACATAACTTGATTTGATAAAAAGCTGGACAAATAACAAGTATCAATTTTATTTTATTTGCAAAGGATTTTTAACTCTACATTTATGATGGTTTATTTGTAATTTTTTTTAAATCTTAACATGCTTAACTTTATGTATATTTCAATACATTTTTCTGCTATGGCAATGAATGTACGTGATTTCTTAAAACAGGGCACAGAGTACAAAATTAAAAATTGAACACCTTGATAACTTTTGCTCTAATGATCGGGATTTTACACGTGCTAAGAAGGTGAGCAAATTCTGTTTCATCTTTTTTTATATTTAAAGTTAATAAGGTGACCAGGAAGTTTAAAATGCTGAAAAAATGCTTTTATAAAGAACATATTTTTGGAAGATTACTTAGAGCAGAGATGGGCAAACTACGGCCCGCGGGCCAACTGTGGCTCGCCGGAAGGTTTTATCCAGCCCGCGGATAGAATTTTAACTTGCCGATCCAGGATAAATATAAAAAATATGCATCTATTTTCTTGTCGACTTTTTTAAAGCTATTTATGTTCTTTCTTTTTTTGATAAGTACTGATGACCTTTTTACTTTCCCTATTTTTGTTCTACAAATAAATTGATGGAAATAGCACAGAGAGCTTCAATTGGTAAAATGTTGAACGCAGAAGTTCTTTATAGAATAGCTGTAGATTGGCGTTTGTCTTTCTCGAGGAGAAAACTTATGGAATCGAATATAGGTGAATTATGATTCACGTGTGGCAGACTGCGCATTTTAAGCTACAACGAGAGGACAATCTAGCAATCATCTGATACAGTTGTTTCTAAATATGCCAATGTTTGAGTTTTACAAATCATTACCAAAAGCTAGCACCCAAAATCTTAATATTTCATGCTCAGGAAATCAGTGCTATGTTTGCTTAATCTTAAATATATCTTGAATATAAAAATAAAATATTAAAAATAAAATAAAATAATCTTAAATATAAACAATCATTTTAGAAGTAGACTAACCGACAAGTATTTAGCCTCGTTCTTTAAAGTAAGCACATCTCACTTCGAACCTCATATAAGGATACTACTCATATAAAAATGAAATCGAAATTTCATTCATCTCACTAAATACTTAAATTAAAACTTAAATATTGGTTTTTTTTTTAAATTTAAATTTTGAAGTTTTTACTTGGCCCACCAAACAATTTTTTTCTCAATTTTTGGCCCTCGACCAAAAAAGTTATCCCATTCCTGACTTAGAGGATGAAGAACAGTGAATCATTTTGCGATAACTTGTTTACATTTTGGCCTTTTTTTAGCATTGGAAAATTCATGGTTTACCTTTCCTCACTTTTTCTTTACTTTAAATTTTAAGCTACGTATTTAGGTAAAAGGGAATTTGCCATGAAGGTATTTTCCTACGATAAAGCGTCCTCTTATAATTCGGGGGACTAACCTTGAAAATGCTGATTAATTAATGCAGATTTATATTATTAGTACTTACATATAAGCTGATATTTTAAGTACTTACACAATTAGTACTTACCCAAAAAAGCATATAGTTTGTCTATAGAACGAACTCCCCTCGTTATGAAGTCTAAAGCCGTCTTCTACTATGGAAACAGGAAATTGCGCATTTCAAAGAGGGGAGCTTCTTTTTCCCCTGATTCCCTTTCTCTCACCAACCCAAACCAAAACCCATCTTAAGTTAAACCTCGTAACCATAGTCACCGCCTCAACTCCAGGCGAATGGTTGGGGGAGTTCCTTACATAGACAAACTATACCTTTTTTCGATGGATTCGGGTTCTAAATATAAGAGAAGCCGCAATCCAGAAAGTAAGATCCTAATAGTTAGGAGAGGGATCGAAAACATAAGTGCCTTAACGGTAATTTCACTTTTTGAGGATTTCTCAATATCTCTGAAACTATTTAAAAGTTACTGTTATTTCGATATTACTGTTACTTCGATATTACTGTTATTTCGATATTACTGTTACTTCGATATTACTGTTATTTCTATATTACTGTTATTACTGTTATTTCGATACTTCAGATAATAAACAAACGAATTCTTTTAGAGTACTCTTTGAGAACTTTTGTTAAATTATAAAACTCTACTATAATCTAATATTATAGAAAATTAAAAACGGAAGTTTTTTATGGAAATACAGAAAAATATTCGTAAGAGGCTCAGTAATTTGACGGAAATAAAGTGAATATTAATTTATAAATTATTTTCCGGCTCTTAGTCTTTAAATTACTGTTCCAATCTAAAAAAAAATTTATTTTATGTCAGTGATAACAAATATTCTTGTTCAATTTTCAAAAAATTATTCCATTTCCATTAAATTATAAATTCCATTAAATTATAAATCCTTAAAATTTAATTTTGCGTTAAATGTCAACTATTAATTAATTAACAAAATTAATTTAGTTAAAATGTTAAAAAAAAACTTATTTCATTTTCTGATTTCTTGTTATTAATTATTTGACCTATTTATTAACAAATTCATTTTTAACCTTTGGTAATGTATAGCTTTTTTATTAAAAATTTTAAAATAGTACTGAAATTATTAGAGGGATAGGTTCAAGAATTTTTAAAAAGTGGCAAATAATTACTCACTGTTGTCTACCACCGCCTCAGACGTTGTTACCCTAATTTATTTAAGTACAAAAACACCCTTTGCTCCCTAAACTACCTTCCATTTATAACTTAAGTAAAATCAGCTAATTAAGTTAAAATTTAATAAACTAAAAATATTTTACCTTACCTTTTAATTTGCTTCTAAAAATTACATTTTAATTTTTATTTTCAAAATGAATATATCAATGCTGTAGATAACAATATCTCAATTCATTAAATAATTAACTTGATACTTATTCACGAAGTATCTAGTTTCTGAAAGAAATAAAATTGGAAACAAACTTGCGTTGTAACGCCACTGTTATTCATTGTATACATTTGTTTATAAGTTGAGAGTAAATATTTATTCCACAAGGAGACAAATTGTCTACCGAAAGACTGAGAATGATTTATTTTCGCAAACCTTTAGAGTTTCTATCAGAAATACTGCGAATAGAAGGTAAGATTTAAAGCTGAACAACAAAGTAAATAGTGTACTTTCAGTAGATAACTTTAGAAGAGAAGAATTGTAATTTAACCAAAAATAGTCATGTTTCATTTTGATGAAATGTTTAATTCAGGCTTGATTTATAAAAATTCCTGTTTATTGCTTTTCGGAAAGCTTGTAAATTTTATTTTTTTCAATAATTTTCTTAAATAGTTTTCTATTTTAATAATATTGGTATGAATACATACTTTATGTCAGTCCTTTACTTTTACGGACCACTAAGTACTAATCGAAAATTAAAAAATCCGATGTCTGTACTATGCTTTGTACAATATTGTACTAAATACTAAGCAATTCAGAATTTTGTTTTAAATAAACAAAATCAAAATTCTTGATTTTGAGACCAAGCTGATCAATAAATTCGGTAAACGTTTTCACTTTTAAAAAAATCTCTGACTAGGCCATTAGCTCTATGTGGCCGTATGATGTCGACTATTAAAACACTCCATCCCTAGAAACAAACACAGGGCTTCAATACTTCAAACAAAAACCGCAATAGCTAAAGCGCTCACGTCCCATTGAGATAACCTAGGTTCGAATTCCTGCGATCCGACCTCAGTGCTGACGTAAAATATTCACGGATCATCCGTAGAATACTCTTGTTATAATCCTCTTGTCAATGGACGAACCGTTGGAGGTTTTCATGGTTTTCCTCTCTTTGTAACGCTATTTTTTTAACTGAATAACGGATTAAAAGTGTAGTAAATTTTAAGATACACACATTTTCCTTTTAAAATAAACATAAACCGTTATTTAAGCTTAAAATAACGGGATGACTAATTTAGCAAAAATAATTGCTCTTTAATAGAACGCACTGCATTTTTATTTAAAATTTGCTCAAAAGGAAAATACTTAACAATTTGAAACTAGAGCCCAATAGGCACTAAATCCCATAAAAATAACATTCTAAAATCTTGTCTTACAAAATATAAGTGCAAATCATTAAGACATTGTACTATTAAGTAAGAACAACACTATTTTCATCCTTTTAAAATTTTTATAACTCATCTTATAATTTAGCTCTTCAATATGTACATTTCCGTTCGGAAAATATTTTTCCTTAAAAATTGCATTTATTTTTTATTTATATCAAATTCAAAGCATTTTTTGTGAAATGTTTACTCTTTATGTAATTTAATTTAAAAACTAGCAGAAAAATTTTTAAAGGAAAAGCAAACTAACTTTCTTGTATGCTAAAGTAAAACGGCAATAAAAATTAACCTTTTAAACAAAAAGCTATCTTTCAATATTTTTTTTTCTTTAATAAATAAAATGTTTATTTCCTCTAAGAAAATAAATCTTAACAATTCATCAAAAATAAATGAATAAAAAATGCAACTCGATCGCATAATCAATCATTCTGTGGGTGAATTCAAACTGAAAGAAAAGCAGTATTTCAATGTAATGCCGAAAGCGACTAAAAAAACGCAGACTAAGAAAACTAAAAAAAGACTGGTATCGCCTTGAGGTCGTAGCCCTTGAAAAAAAAGAGGTCACTTTCTAGATCAAGAGAAGAATTCGCCAAATGAGAAAAACATTTTCATCTCTCGCAATTTTTTTAGTTCCAGTGGTTTCAAAAATAATGCGTAACATAAAAGTTATTTTTTTAATACTTTTTTATTCTGTTGACAGTTATCCTCAAGGGTTACCTACAGATACTTGTGATACAATAAGTCCTGTAAAAACTCCTTTACAAGTCAATGATTCACCTTATGTTCTTCTTCAAACAGCTCTTTCTTACAAACCTGGCCAAGTTATAAATGGTAAATATTTATATTATACTTATTTTCAGGTAGCATTTTTTTTCAGTTAAAATTTCATTTGCGTTGCGTCAAGGAACTCATATTTTTATTAATTCATAATAAAATCTAATTTTACGTACTGAATTAATTTTACGTAAATTACTTACAATTTTATGTAATATGATCTTTAAGGGACCATCCACAAATATTTGCGCTGAGAAAAGAACAGGGTTCGTGAAATTATATAAATAATATTGCAAAAAGCGAGAGAATAAGAAAAGAGTGTGACCACATATTTGGTTAAAATAAAAAGTTTTTTTAAAAACAATTTCTTAATCTCTAGTAAGTTATCCACACTGGTTGATAACAGATACTTGTAATAAAATAAGTCCTGTAAAAATATTTTTACGAGTCAATAATTATCCGAAGATCTTTCTCAAACACCTCTTTCTTACAAACCAGGCAAAATCATAAATGGTAAATTAAATATTATATTTATTTTCCTGCGCATATGTATATTTATACTTGACATTTTATTAAACTTCTCAATAAATACTTTCGATATTATTTTGTAACTTTAGAGGTGTTTAGTTCATGTGATTTTTCATACTTCATAATAAGATTTAAAGCCTTTAGAGGTTTGAGGGACTGATAATAAATTGCGAAAGAACAAGTATTTTTGAACGCCAGAAAATCAGTGAATAAGCTTGTAACAAGCTATACGATTTCTTTGATTGCTATAGTTGAATAAAATTTCGTAAACCTAGCTTAAATATTTAAAGAAATATGGACATTTTTAACTAAAACTATATTTATGCCTCAACTTCAAAAATATTTAATGAAATGAAAAACAAATAATAAACAATTGTAAGCAATCTGCTGACGTTATCGAAAGTATACTAAAGCAGGTGCTTTCGGAATCGAAAATAATTCACAAATAATAGGATTCACGGAGCTTACGATTTCTTAATTATTGTTTTTTAGATTTACCTACCCTCTTTAAAGTGTATTTGGACGTTTAATTTGGTGTAAACTTGAAATAAAGTGTTTCAAAACGCACTGTTCAACACCAAATTTGAAGAGGTTTTACACCACAGGATTTACAGTGCATGCATTTCGCAATAGTTATTTGACTATTATTATAAAAATAATTTTCAAAACTAATGCAAATCATTTCATCGCATTTCTTCACTTTTTTATCGAGCTAATCGATTTATAAAATGAATGGCTCAATTACTGATGAAAGTGTTTTGAATTTGTCAGTTTTGGGAGAATGGGAAAATGTCTATTACAAAATAGATAAGATTTAAAAGCTTTGACTGAAACTAAGCAAACTGACAGCTCAACCAGCAGAAAATTGCTTTCCATTGGGTTATTTTCTAAAAATGATTTCAAGAAATTTTATTTCTATCTTGAAAACATTCTAAGAAACAAAAGTTTAACCAGCAGCTCTCTCTTAATCCGTTCCTTATAAGACAAGTTCTGATGTAATTTAATAATCAATAAATCAATAGAATTTTCTTCGTTCGACTTTTATCTCTTTTAAGTTCACAAAATGGCGGCGAATCTATAATAATTACCGACCGTAATTAAGTTGCCTTACAGAGTTTCAAAGAATATCATTAAATGCGAGATTTTAAAAAGCATTTAAAGCGTCTCACTCCGAATTCTCTAAAATGTATATTTCCCATCATCCTTTGTTTGGTTAGTTCCTGGCAGTGACGGCTGCAGTTAAGTAAAAAAGAGGAGATTCTATACAACCGATGCTTAACGCAACATTTTCTTCATACTCCAGCCATCTTACTACCGTTAAGGGAAAAAAACCATTGACTCAGCTTTTTAATCATTACTTTTCCTTCTTCGGATTTTTTTGATACTTATTAAATGAAAGTTCTTTGAATGAAATTCTATCAGCGTATAAATAGGATGTAGAGATCGAAAAATGAGTACACCTTAATAACTTTTGAACTACCGATTTTCACTTACTATGACTCAATCTTAAAGGTTAAAGGGCTTAAACTTAAATATACTATATAATTAGTTTAACGTACGCGATAGCCTGGTTGGCAGGGCACTGGACTCACGTTTGAGAGAACGATAGTTTGAATCCATTCAACCGAAGATTCTCCGTGTAGTAAATGGTGACTAGTGCACGTCAAATCAGTCTGATCACTAAGTCCTCCATGTTCCCATAACAAATCGAAACCTCTGGGGGTACTGAATTGGAGATTGATCGTTCTCTAGTTCGGGTCAAAATTACGATCTGTGGATGAATGAATGGATGTATGAAAGGGTACACCCTATAAACGGGTGTGACGTATGGATGTGGCAGAATTCAAATTCGTGGCCATTGGTGCCGCTGGAAAACAATGGAAATCGCACCCTCTCTGCCTTAATGGCTGACGACGACAACAGCAATTTGTATAACGTGATATTTTAACAAATTCGGAACTTCGATCACGTGATTCTCCCATCACGCCCGAGGTATCCTGTATGAGACAAAACTTTCTGACTCTAGTTGAAAATAGGAGAGCGATCGAATAGTTGAATTTCATATTTTACATATTTCGTTACCTCTAAGAAGTCATTTTACATTAACATTTTATGATTTATTCGATTCAATTTCAAATTCATTTGATTCGCTTCATTAGTTCCAGAAGTACGGCAAAGTACGCAGAAAATAAAATTGACTCTAAGGTAGCTCGAACTCTCGACCACTCTCATATCGAAATTATTGGGACCATATTTCTCAACTTCTCGCAACTATCCATATTTTGAGCATCAAGTATTCAAATCCAATGAAATCCATCAATCAAATCCTTTTTTTTTTCAGAAAAAGTACATTTTAAAGTCTAATTTCGTAACTTAAGATATCGTCGGCACAAACTAATTAGCATGCTTAAAGTTAAGATTTCAAAGCAATAACATTAGATATTAATACGTGATTAGATCAGAGGTTATTAAGATGTTCTTTTTTTCCGCACACTGTGTTCATTATATGGAAATTTAGTGTACTTAAAAAAGGGAATATTACTCAAATACTAAACTCGTTTAATAAAATAAGCATGAAAGATTTAGTGTTCAATCTATAAATGAAAATAACATTTTTTATGATAAAATAGCTGAACAAAGAAATGACTTAAAAGTCTAGACAAGATGTTATCTAACAAACAATACTATATTTAGACGAAATATCTGCTTAAAGAGCGGAGAGGTTGCAGAATGTTGAATATGTAAGTATCTTAAAGAAAAAATTAACATGACAAAGTTTTATGGATTTAAAGATGGATGGATTATGGATTTTTGAACTATCTTTTACCAAATCTTTTTTTTTCTTTTTCGAAAAAAAAATTCAGATGTTTATAATTGAACGCATAGAAAGGAATTATTTTATTCTACACTGTAAAAACCACACTGTTAGAAATTTCTCGGAAGAAAGGGTTAAATAACAATTTATTGAATGGTTATTTTACTACATTTAATCAAAACAGTCAAATAACCATAAATAAAATGGTAATCAAACTGTTAATTTTGAGAAAAACTGTTTATTAACTGCTCTCCCCTAATACAGTTAAGCAACCAGAATTTTATCGCACCAACTACAACCACCTAATGAAGCTACTTGGTTCTTTGCAACTGCGTGCATATCATAACCGAGTGGGCTTATTCTGTCAATCTCATGACCGGCAGAACTAGAGTTCGAGTCCTAGTGTTGACGCTACTATATTTCCTCCTTTCCCTTCAACACATGAAAAATTTCCAGTGTCCGGCACTCTCCAATGCCCATTACCTTACGAAAAGCCGAGCTCCTATGCCTAGTTAAATAATTTTTTTACCTTATGCTAGTAGTAAACGTTTAAAAAACCTAACAGTTTTGTATTCATGGTTTTTATAACCATACTTTTCGTAAATGGTTAGAGGAAAAACATTCTTTACCGTAAACTTTGCAGTTAATCGTAAGGACAGACAGCTGCCATTTACTTCACCATAAGTTTAGAATAAAAATTTTAAAAGTGCAATTAAAATATCATGTTCAAAAACTCTAAAAATTGCATGAATAAATATAATACCGAATTAGCAGCACTTTAAAGGATGTAGTTACTTAAGCACTAATTATTAAAGACTTACACCAAGCTCCGATGCATTTCCGCCATTCACGAATTAAGCCACTTAGGCGTACGTTTTAAAAATGTCAGATAGAAACGGTAGGTTATTTACAATCAAGCCGGAAAAGGTCAAAGTTTGTGGTTGCGTAACATTTCACAGAAATAGAAATTTACTTTTATAAAGGGCATGTAAGTGTTTAAATGTGTAATAGAGATATTTATCTTCTCATAAGATTTACATTAATCTGTCAATTGTATAAAACAATTTTATAGTATTTATTTTTTTTCACTCCTAATTTATTGAGCCTAGTTCGAACTCATCTTAATATTATCTTCTGGTGTGTATACGTTTGGTTAACAAACTTATTTTACTTTAAGGATTAGTGTATATATGTATCCTAAATTAATGACTCTTACTTTGTATTGAAATCAACTATAATCGTGAAATTAACTTTGCTAACTCTTATGTGTATCATATGTATAATTAGAAATTTCAGTGGTTCTGAACGGGGGCAACTACTTCATACCAAGTAGTGTAAAAGAACATTCTTAATGTTGAACTTAAAATCATGCTCATATTCCAGAGAAGTCAGTCCTGGAGCTTAATTTGAAAGTGACAAAAAGGTGTTTTTGAGTTTTAAAAAAAAGTAGGTGTTTTTTAGTTAAATAAAAAAACGAACTGTTAATTAACGAGTTGCGAAGCGAAACTTTTCCCCCTATAATTACAATTATATTTTTTCCTTAAATCTGAACTTATCGTGGTTATTGCAAACTATGAGTGCAAAAAATATTTTTACTATCTGCTGTGTTTAATTTACAGTTGATACTACAGTCAAGTGCGGGACACTTTTTTGTGCATTATCTTCATTAAATGTGTCTTAGATGTAGTTTTCATCTTAAACTAAAGATTATAAA